ATAGCTACTACTCTTTAATATCTGTCAAGGAAACCGTGTCAGATCAGCGGCCACGCGGTGTACGGAATAGGGTCACGGTGGAGAAGGCCGATCAAACTACTTACTGTCCCTTACCACAACACCTCAGCACATCACCTCAGCACAGCACCTCATTCTCACTGTCGTCATGTAAGATGCGTCTATGCTTTCTCCCTTAGCTGGCTATCGCCTTTCTCCCTTCACGCACTACATGTGACACCCTCCGGTTCAACTCGTCACATTCACGAGTTTACCCCCTCTGATGATGAATGACACCCCATTCAGGTCATAAGCGCACAACTCTCTACTTGTTGCCCGGTTTCACCAATACTACCACTCCTTCCGAAGTTCAATTTCAATCAGCTCTCCCTTTCCTTGCTGACTTTAGCACGGACTGGAAGTGAAATAGATCTCGCTCTCGTCATTCCAAGGCTAAAGGTAAGCAACAAAAGCTAAGATCATAAGCAGGAAACATCCGGCGTCAAAGATGCACTCTCCTCTTCACGCGGGTCACTCATTGTGACCTGCTCCATAACACTTTTATACCAGCGTCGACTGAGAGCTCGCCATGATGCATGCACTGAACGCCCACGAACCGTAATCACGTCAACCTTTGGTCCTCATTACCCAGGAGTGTTGCGCGCGGGCTGGTGGCTGAAATCGTTATAGAGTGAATAGGCATCAGCCCCTGAGTACGCGTCCATCTTGAACAGACGTCTTCCCGCACGGTGCAGACTTCACTCCCTCCTCCTAGGTGAGCACTTCGATATACGGAGCAGATGACATCAACAATCAGTCCCTCCGCGGGGTACGGACGGGATTCTGATTTCCCTCCCCTAATGCGATCGCGCTGGCACACATGTCACACGAACCAAGAGAGAGTTGATGACACCGACCGGAGTCTCTCGCGAGGCTCAATCTTGACCTGCATTTCCTCCCAGATGGTCTTCAAGCTGCAGCGGGGTGTGACCCGGATCACGCACGCGGAGCGGAAGACGTACGGCAAGTCCTCTTCTACCGTTCCGAAGTCAAGCAGAGAGTCGACAGGGGATGCTCGCGACAGCAGAGAACTGCCAAGACAGAACACATCAGGGGAAGGAGGCAGCTGACGTCAACAAGACCTCTCTGTTATCAGAGCGCGCAATGGTCACGTGCGGTGGCTTCCACTGCGTGCACGCCCAAGCTCTCGTCAAGACTAGGGGAGCGACGATCTTCAAACGACGGACAAAACCTCCCCTCTTCAGGTAAGCTGCAAATGCTCCAATTAGCTGCTGACTTCAACAGGTCCCGAGGGTGACCTCTGTTCTCTCTCTTCGTGTCTGAATTCCGTGTGCTTTTCTCTCCCGTCCCCTCTCTTGATTGAGACTGTCTGCGTCTCCCCCCCTCTCTCTCGTAACCGCTCGCCCTCTTCTTCTTTTTGCGTTGACTCTTGCATCTCTTTCTTTGCCTAGTGGCTATGGTCCCCTCCCTCTCGTGAGCTGGCCTCTGGACCGTCGGGTTCCACCCGTGGATGGTCCCACCGCCACTGATCCAGTCCGTGCCAGGACTGGGTCTCGGCCTCTAGGTCGCTCGCGTCGCTCTCCGCCTCTGTGTCTCGGTCTAGGTGCAGCTGCTCCCGCTCTGCAGTGTCCGTGGAGGTCTCCCCCTCCAGGTGCGAGACAGTCACCCTGATCTCGTCCGTGACCCTGTCTCGTCTACATCTCCTCTCGGCACGGTCCTTGGCCTCTGTGATTGCCGCCTGTAGTCCCTGGTCCGCCCTCTTTCCTCCTCTTTTCCCGCTTCTACGTTTACCTTCAGTTTCGCCTCCTGGCTACCGTAGCTGTAGTCCAGTATAGCCGTCACCGTATGCCCTTCTCCTGACATCTGCTCCCACCTCCAAAGAAATTGGAGGCACCTTGGCCTATAGCCATACAACCCGCTGCTACGCACCATGGTTGAGCCCTTCTCAGTTGGACCGTGCGAGATGCCAGGCTGCAGAGTTCCAAGACAGCCAGGGCCGAACACTCAGAGCATGAGCATGAGCGCACAGGCAGTCCCTTACACTCACCACGCCGCCTAGCCCTCTCCCCTTGGTTTGCTAGTACTCGGCGTGGTGAGATTGCTCATGCCCAAGTGGCCAAATGCTTGCTTCCCTCGCTCTTTATAGGCCCAGGACATGCCGCACTTCCCCCATGCTCTGAGCATGAGACCCAGTTGGTCTCCCTTTTTTTTTTTTTTTTTTTTTTTTTGAATTCAGCATCTTTGTGATCTGTAAATTCAAGGAATAATAAAATAAGATAAATAAATTAAAGATGGAAAACGAAACGCTGAACCCCAACGGTCATAGCACAGGCGACTCATTTAGCTGTCAGTCACTAGCCCTTTTTACTCTTGGCATAGAATGACAGCAAGCTCGCCATAGTGCTCCCATAATGGGATACGAGCGGACGCCTTCCTCCTTTTTAAGATGAGCATCGGGCTACCCCAAATGGGTACCCCTGTCCGATGGCAAGGAGGGGACTCATGACCATCTGCAGGGTGATGAGTCTCCTGCCGATGCGGCCGCGGGTGCTCCCATTTTGTGGGATATTTGCCGCCCCTTACCGGTCAGGCTCACAACGACAGATGCGGAAGGATTGGCAGACTAGGCAACCCATAGGCTACTACAGATTTCGAAAACAGATCGTCAGCCCCCCCCCCGCGAAACGGCTTAGGGAAACGATACTCAGAGAACGACTTGCAACATTGATAATAATAATAATAATAATAATAATAATGATAATAATAATAATAATAATAATGATAATAATAGTCTAGGCTGTTTTCCCGGGCGCCTGGGCACCCAACTTCTGCCCGGGTACACGCCCGGGTGCCCGACCGGGCATGACCCCCGGGCAGGGTTCCGGGCAGGCCCAGCGCCAAAAAAAAAA